AAGCCAGCGGATCCACGTCGGTGATGGGCCAGACAACTTTCCGATTGCATGCCTCGAAGACACCTGAATCACCCGCGACGCTCTCGTCAGAGACCGCGGCAGAAACAGATCTGGTATTAGTACCGGAGCTGCTGGCCCTTGATCTGATTCCGGTAGGCGGTGGTGTTTCGCTGATCGGCGACAAAGGAGGCGGCTCTTGCGGTAGGGACAGTGACGGTGCCTGTTGCAGCTGCAGCTGCACGTTACCCGCACCGGGCCTACCCAGGCCGCTACCTTGGGACATGTTACTCGACTGCAGCTCAACCGGTGGATGAGGACCGCCTACGAGCTTTAGACGATCCTGCGAATTGACGGAGCACGACTGCTGCTCCTGCTGCGACACTACTCCTTGCTGCTGACTAAGTCTAAATTCCGACAGACGATCCTCCAATTGATTCCCGTCCAAATGCGATCCGATGGCACCGCTGATCGCTGATGCCATTGCCGTTGGCGTCACCGCCGTCGCCGTCACTACCGTTGCGGGAGCTGCTCTCTGATACTGCCTTCTCTGGAGTTCCACTTGCTCATAAGCGGGTGGCGGACCCATCGGCGCGTTTTCGTACAACGGCGATACCGGCGGGCTGACGCTTGACAGGCTCGATCTTGGTGAGAGACTGGGCTGCGATCTGCCAGGCGAGGGTGTACCAACGAGATTATTCTGCTCGGAACCGCGCAAGAGTCTTTCGACACGTCTGTGAAGATCGACCATGTCGACCGGTCGTTCCTGTTGCGAACTAGCCGAACCCAGACACTGTGGACCGCCATAAATATCCGTGAAACTAAGTCCAGAACTGAGAGAACCCTTGCTGCTGGTCGTACTGAGACTACCGAGGCTGGAACTGCTGCTCACGGACAACGTACTGGCGCTCAACGTCTTCAACTGACCCTCCAACATCGCCATCGAGCGCAGTGCGGTTCTGAGTTGCTGCAGCAACAGCTGCTTCTCTTCGTGCAGCCGCACGCGATCGGTGATAGTCTTGTTCGACAGTTCAAACGCGGTATTAAGATCCTGTTCAAGTCTACGGATCTCCAACTGGATCTTCTTCATGTCTTGCTGCGTTCTCGTGCGCGGTGTGATACTACGTAATTCCCTCAGCAGCTGTTCCTTTTCCTGGAACAACAACAGCTTGTCCTTATCGCTCTCGGTCTGACCAGGCGTCACCTTCTCCTCAAGATCCGCCAATTGCTGTTGAATATGCTGGATCTGTTTCCTCGCTTCATCGTATTGCAGCCTCATACGTGCCATCTCGGCCAATCGGGTGCCGATTGGCACCAGCTCGCCTGAGAAATCCGTCTGGGAAGCCGTACTAAGTTTCTCTTGCGGCAAGCTGAGCGTGCTAGCTTCCGGACTGCCCTCGCACAGTTGCAGCCTTGTCAATTCATCCTTCAACTGCGCGAGCGATTGCATCAGCTCGGCCTTCTCCTTCTCGCCCGAGCTCAAGGACTTCTGGATGTTGCGAAGCTCCGTCATTATCGCCTGCGCCTCCATGATATTGTAGCAACCACCATGATGGCTGTTCAATTTTTGTTCCACGCTGCGAAAAGAAGTAGATTATATGAATATATATACATAGATTTGTAAATACTATAAATAATTAAAATAACGATAGTTATAATAAAAAAAAATTTACAATCTACGATAAAATTTAGATTTCTTGAACGTGTTGTATTAAACGATATTATTAAAATAAGTCAAAATTTTGCGTATAAGATCATTTTACAATTAGTAAAATGCATACAAATAATTTTTATTTTAAAGATTGCAATTTTTAAATTAAATTTCAAATATAGACAAAAATAATATCTATTCGAATAGAGTTTAGCTGAAGAGTTAAAAAATTGGTCATCGCTAATTCGCATGTATATAATACCTGGCGAGAGTATCCACTCCTCGTTGCGTGCAATTCATCTCCGCTCGTATCTGCTCGAGTTCTCGTTTTAATCGAGAAACTCGGCTCCTTGCGAGTGCCACATCGGATTTAAGCAGGTCAGGGTCGTATTTAGTACTCAAGGAACTCGAGCTGGAACACACTGTGTGAGCCACAAATGCCCGTTAATATTTTCCAACAACGACAGAGAACTCGTTTTGCCTATACACTCGCGTTACAATTTATGTAAATTGGACATTTAACTGGGTATAAAATTCAAAATTTAAAGACAGGATTCCTTAATTTACAGCTATGTTCTGCAAACTTGTTTCAACGACGGAACGTATTTTTATAACATGATCGACAAAACTTTTATAAATAAACGCATACAGTGTATCCAGGTTACTAACGAATTAAAAGGAAAAAAAAAACAATTAAAATCTATTTTTATTATAACAAATCGAAATTATATATAAACAAGATTTACTTTCTGTTAAACAACACTCACAACTCGTACGAGTTTGATCCGCCCACAATGGCAGCATCGCATAGATCGTCTTGCAGGCACCGATAAGCGTGTTCTAGGGCGAGTAAGCTCGAACTGCAGGCAGAATTCAGAGTATAAGATGGTCCAGTCACTCCTAGCCAATAAGAAATCCTATTCGCCAACATAGCTCTGCTACATCCAGTGATACCAAAGCCTAATTCACCTAATAATAAAAGATTTAAAGAAATAAAAAAACGATCTCTTCTGCTATACATCCGTTTTCTATTCGCATCAAAACCGGCTACCCTTAACATCCGACGTTAACTTGCAAAATTCCTGCCTCCATTTCCTTATTCTATTTTCAATTATAATTTGATACAGAAAGATATAGAGAAAAAAGGAGAATCGGCAAGTACGCAAGCTCAACCTTTCTTCTTATTTAATCCTTTTTTTACGTTTACGAAAAAATTAAAGTTAAAGTGAATCCTGAATCTTTTCATCTTTCCGTCTTTGGCTACACATGACGAGGACGGTATGTACCTGTAACTTTTCGTAGAATCAAGTCTTTTCGGATTCTGAGAAACACGCGCCCACGAAAACGCCGGTTCGCGATCCACGTAACTGCTTTGGATTTATTCCCGCATCGAGAATGGCCTC